TTGGTGTCAAGAATCTGGTGTTAGATCTAGAAAACACCTTCTTCCTGATAGGCTTGAGTATTCTCATTACCTGTTTACTGGATAGGGCTGCTATAGGGAGAAGTTACATGTTAATCACTTCAGGGCGTTGTTGAAATGTTAAGCTTGCATCACAGAGACTTATTTTGAAGCAGATGTCCAGCTCTATCACCTATGATAGTGAAACCACATTTTGAAAGTTTCTATCATGCCAGGGAAAATAGAACATTTTCAATCATCTTTAGGGCAGCCAAACTGTTTCTCATTCCTCTTGAATCATTTGTGTTTCAGGTTGGATTTGGCAAGGTGTCCCCCATAAACACCATCTGGGTAGGGATGCTGGGTGATCTGAGTGAGCAGCAGATTGAGAGACACTTCAGTCGATATGGGCGTGTCACTAAGGTGGTGGTGAATTATCACAGAGAACAGGCGCTGGTGAGTTTTGACAGCGTGGAATCTGCCAGCATTGCCCAAGCAGAGATGAAGGGCAGGAATATGTTTGGAAGGCGTGTGAGGGTAAGAATGGAAACCTCAAGTAAAAAAAAAAAAAGATTCTATCTATAAGAACGACTACTCATGAGGTGTTCCCTATTTTGTCTTTATGATTCAGGTTGAGTTTGTAAGTCGCGAAAGCCGACAACTTTTTAACGACGCCTTGCAACGTTCTGCTCCGTCTGACAGCAGCAGTAGTAACCGAAGATACGAACCTTCATCCCCTAGAACACGAGGCAGAGGCAGCGGCAGCGGCCCCGGGTATTACGATCATCGATGGGAAAGAGGCCGAGGAGGGCGCGGGACTATGAGACGCGAGATGTCCAATCACCGACCTTGGCATAGAGGCGGCGGTAACTAAGACTATCCTGAGGGTAGCGGTTATCACCAGAGAGGCCATGCTCGTTACCGCTCGTCGTACGAGATGGGTGGAGACGAGTCAGATGACTATGATCAAGAACTGCGGGAATATAACTTCAGTCGGCAGAGAGAGAGGGAAAAAGAACAAGGCCGACAAAGACATGAGAGAGGCACACGAGACAGGGGGGATAGGGAAGATGCTAGCTACAGTGCAAATGAACGCTTCTATCAAGACAATCAAGACCGCTGGCGGGAAAATAGAAGTAGTTCGGGCTCTTTCGAAGAACCACGTGATCGTAAAGAAACACGTTCCCGTGAATTACCGGTCGAACCCGACCGAGAAAGAGCTGGGTATAGTGAAGATGATGAGCGAGCTGCCATGCATAACAAACCGTCAATTCGCGACGTTGAGCAGGAAGAAAAGCGACCGAGGAGAAAAGAGAGAAAGAGAAGGAAACCTCCATCGCCAACTCCTGAAGCAGCGGACGGAGAGAAAGAAATCGTAAGTGGAGGTGAAGAATCTGCTGAGAACCGAGGTCTTGAGCAAAAGGAGCCGAGGAAAGGTCGTCGGGATGGTGATACTGAGACTGCTGCACAAAAGAGTAAAAAGGTAGAGGCAGCAGATCGAGTCTGGGACGAGCGACGAGTGGACGGTAATGGTACCAGGGCTTTAGAAACACTTGTGAAAGACGGCGAGACAGAACTTGCTCCTGCATCGCCTCTACCCGAAAAGAGCCTCAGAAAAAAGGAGAAAAAGGATGTAAAGAAACGGAAGAAACACAGGCGTATCCGAGCTTCGTTGGGCGAAGAAGAGGAAGAGCGGGAGCGGCAGGAAGAAACTGCGCTCACTGCCGAGGAAGCAGCTGGCAGGGAGGCCTCTGATGTGACCTTGTCTGTCATTAAACCAAGAGACCACGTTGTTACCACTGACTCACACACACCTGAAATCATGGACGGCGATGTTCTTGAAAAAAAGAGATTTGATCAACCTGAATTTGAGAGTCAGAAACCTGTTAGACGTCATTCTACTGAGGATAGGCCGCCTAAGGAAGAAAGGGATTTTCCACGCGAATCTGGGAGCCGGTCACCTCGGAAGTCGCACAGAGACGAGCGACGGCGTGACTGGGAGAAGACAGATGGTGTGAGGCAAAAACGACGACGGACG